TGTCCCAGCAAAACTGATAAAAACAACTGCAATACCCATCTGGTCCCGGCGCACTATCAGAATCAATAGAGAATACGACCTGTCTCACCTCCTCCAAAGTCGGCATAACACACACCCAATAACATCTACATCAGTCATAATAGTTGAATAGTCGAAAAATCTGCAACCTCAACCTGACCAGCCCCCATAGAGAACAATCCTTGTAAAAAGGACACAGTTGAAGTACCAATAGCCCTAGGCTCTGTAATCCACTTTGCATCATCACCCTGAATTCGATGGATTGAAGGACATGTCGCTTATTCGAATAATTTATCAATTATACTTTTAAATGTTTTCAATATTATCACCGTTAAATATTTTAGTTATGTTGAGAATAAGGTCAAAAATGAGCATGTTAATAAATCTGGTAAGACTTTGCGTGAATACCTACAACTTGCACGTCACACAATACCATTATGCATCATTTTTTCTATCGAGGCCACAAAATTTATTTTTAAATCAAGGATGATTGAATTACTCCCTAAATCCCATGGCTTAGAATCTAAAAATCCTTACCACCACATAAGAGATCTAGAGGAAATATGTGCCACATTTCATGACCAAACAGTGACCGAAAATATAGTTAAATTAAAGCTTTTTTACTTCTCACAAGAAGAAAAAAACTAAGATTTGACTATATTCTTTGAGACCTAGATCTATAAAGGCACAAAAATGGTTTATAGTAGTATAGATATAAAATATATATTATTGATCCTTAATTTATAAAAGTTCAACAACAGTTAAAATTGATCCAACTTTCATCTATTTTGATCAAATATTACAAAATTCATTTCGATATTTTTTTTCGCTCAAAAATATTATATTCTCTGTACAACTTCTAATGTTAAATAACTCAATCAAATACTCCCCAATGTCAGCTACCTCTCTCTTATTTTTTATCTGTTCACTTTAATTTTAAATTACGTGACTAAAAAAATAAAATATAAGATAAGTTATTATTTAAAATATAAAATATTGCACAATCAATAGCACAACCTATATATCTAGGAAGGTTAGTGTATCTTGTTTGTAATATTTAGTTGCTAAGTAAGACATGTTTTTTTTTTTTTTGGGTCATACAAACACATGGAGTGCCAAAGTTGAAAAAAGTCTAATAGCACGCGAGGAAATGTGAGATTGTGTGTTAATTTGTATAACATTATTGGATAAAATATATTCATTTTATTATTTGAGAAATCACAAACAACAGTTTCAGGACACAACAATCACAAAAGAATGCTGCAAAGACCTTAAGAAGATGGTAAAGCTATGCCAAGATGAGCTTGTTGAGGCTTTTCTCAAGCTCTTTCGAATAAGCTTTGATTTTTTGCAAACCATGATAATTGCTTAATAAGCCTACTTTTTTCTCTGCATTGAGCTGTCTGCCTTTCTGAGCGTATTAAAAATAAGATGAATAACCCTTTGACCTCTCTGTGACTCATTTTTTACATTTCTCTCTCAACTGTCATATATATTTTACATATTGTGTTTTTAAATATGTGATTAGTTTTATATTATTTTAATTATTAATGACCATTATTAATATGATGAAAATTTGTTTCATTTTGCCTTCAAATTATGAGATTTTTTACACTTTACCTCGAGACATTGAAAATATTCATCCAAAAAAATAGCAAACATTCACTTTTGGGACAGTGTGAAATAATTCAATTTGGTTCGGGGGTAATGCAAAAAATTCAATAGTTTGATGGGAAAAATATAAGAGTTCATATTTAAGGGTTTCAAAGTATAATTTGTCCTAGAAAAGAAGTGTGCTAGAAGAAATTGGTAATATATTTCTTCCATCCCGTTTCATTTGATCAAAACTGGCATGTCAAAATGCTCCATTTACTCAAGAAAAATGTTAAATAGACTTAAAAACTTGACATAATGAATCATTACTATTGCATAGATAATGAGTTCTATATTATTTTTTTAAGTCTGCATAGTATTGATGAGTCCTAGCTTATTAGACAGGCACAAATATGCCCATATACTTCCCTAAAATCTAAACCCCAAAGATATATGGGTGTTGGAGAAGTTGGCCAAATTGCTTTGTATCAAGTGGCTTCTGGAATGGAGTAATATGTTTATTAGCTTGCTATAAGGCATTAAAAATCCCATTGTTCTATCTTCTTGAAAATTCCATTCAGAACCCAAGTTGCTCGAATTCAGCTAATCTTTTTCACTTCAACATGATAAGCAAGGAAGAGTACTTCCCCCTTTTTTGAACGTGGATTGTCTAGGGTGCAAATATTCTGTATTACTAGTTACGAGTTAGAGTGAGTGGATTCGAATATATGGATAGCCAAATTCGCGTAAATAATGCCAAAGCTTGAGCCTACTCCTGTTCATCCATTATAGCATGCATCTTTAATTAACTTTGACTGAACTGAACTATAAGCCTTTTTAGGGCAAATGTTGAGAGACAATGATCTACAGACACCACAAATCTTCGGAATATGTAACTGTTTGGAAAATATGGACCACAGTACCACACTATGAATCTCCAGAACAAATTTAAGAACCCCTAATTTACCATTTCAGAAATGACATATTCCAATCGTTTAGATCAGGAGGAAAGAAAAAGAAGACCAACTATTTAACAGGGAAATTATTTCATTATATAGTTATTATTCTTAGAGTTACATTATTCTCTCACTCTCACTCTTTATCCCCATCTCTATCAGAGTGAGACAAACTCATACAGCTAGGGTAAATAACCATGAGAATTTCATGAAAAGTAATGTGGGATAACCATTTCAATCCATTCCTTGCTTATGGAGTGGTGACACCTGTAGAAAATTAGAGAACATAGTAAGTTTATAAATCGTAGGAAACAACCTAAGATGTGGCCTCATTACATAAACCAGAATGCTTTTAGACATGAGAAAAGAAGCCATTCCAATGTGTGTGTGAGTGTGTTTGTGTTGATTTGGAGGGCAATGAGACGTTATATCAGCTTCGCTATCATCGAAGGGTATCAGGTGATATGCTTGGACTACTAGGCCGAGTGATCTGATACGGCTCTTAGTCAACCACGAGACCACGTATCGATCTCAAAATATAAGTGTTGAGTCTAGCACTAATTCGACTGAGTCGTATAATCATCGGTCCATTACTTGAACCGTGTGTGTGTGTGAGAGAGAGAGAGAGAGAGAGAGAGAGAGAGGGGGGGGGGGGGGGCTTACTCCCACACTTGAAGTTGCGAGGGAGTGCCCTTCCACAACTTTGAATCTGCTTGATGGTACGTTGAACTCCGATGAGGGCTGCAACCTTAGGGGTAACATAGGGGCACACACACTCAACATGGGTGACCCTAATACGCTGGCAACAAACCGCAGAAGGGTTTTGTCCAAAAATTATAGCCCTACAAGCATTAACCAGAAGCCTTTTCTCGTTCTTGCACTGGCTAGGGCTCGTATCTCCACTAACCATAGGAACCACACAAACACCTCCCACCATTAACACCAACACAAGCATTCCCACCCATGACCTTACCCTCAATGTTCCTCTCATCTTTCTAACTTGGTTCTCTTCTTGCACAATCAACTACCCATTTATATAAGGAATTAGAATGCTCATATTTTCCATTGCCGTCTACTTTACGCCTAGGTGTCTTTGTCAAGGACTTGTGGTCTATTACAACCCTTTAAATGTGTTCAAACTTAGCCAAAACTAATGAGCTTAGTCTGTATGGATATGGCTTAAGAAGACCACGTCTAATTTTCTTGGATTAATACTATTGATATTTAAAAATTTGATCTAATTTATTAATTCAATTACGTGTTCTTGATATGATTCAATAATATATTTTTTTTTAATTTAAAACCACCCAATGTAGAGGAGGGGTTTGGCAGGACCCCTACCTGTATATAAAACTAAATGAAAAAAGGTACAAAGGAAAAGGACATAGAGCCAAGCCTCCAGAAGTACAAGGTGGGAGAAGGAAAATCAAAGCAAAAACAAGGTGGTGACTGACCACCAAAAACATGAAAGCAAAGTGGGGACTCCCCAAAGAAGAGAATAACTGAAAACATAGATGAAAATAAAAAACTCACCGATGAACGTGAGGAGTTTGTCGAACGTCCAAGGCGAGGATGCCACCTATGCCAGAAGGAAGGGATGACGAGTCAGAAAATCACTGATTGAGCTGCTGAGAGCAAACCCAATTAGCCATGAAATTGGCAGCCTGATTCGCCTCCCGCAGGACGTGGTAGAAGCGAGCCGAGAGAAAAGCACACAGAAGCCAGATTCAATAGTATTATTCTAAGTACAATTGTCGAACTTCTTCATCGAGATCATATCACTTGACACAATATTAAGTTAAACTATTATGTCAAGTTTTTAGGTTTCACCGGTATTACTATTTTCTTACATTTAACAGTGTAATTTTAACTATATTCTTTTAATTTTGTTCATTCCTATATGAAGAAGGTAAAAAGATCAAAGATAAGGAAAATCTCTCTCACACACATAAAATGTTGTCTTTTTTGCTTTTGGCCAAAGATTAAATACAACTACAAAGACCTAATTTGACTAATTAGCCATTCAATTGTTCAATTTAGTCTACTGCAAGTCAATGGCTGTATTTACCAGAAGGAAAATGCTAAATAAATTAAAAATTTTAACTTGATAAATTAATAAATATTAGAATTCACAGTTAAATCAATAATAAATATAATAATAATATCATCAAATCAAAATTTTAAAATCTATGAAGCATTGTTCCTACCAAAATTTTACAAGTCTTCTTGTGCTAGGTGTGGCTTTGGGGTGGCCCCTATTGCATTGTGAAATCGCATGGTCTTTTGTAGTGTAAAAGGAAAGCAAAAATAAAGGCATGTCTAGTACTTTTGTAAGAAGCTGATGATGACGATCTCACTTCCCTTTGTCATATCTGTTGAATATTAGAGTCTCAGTCTATATTGGAGGGAATATATATCTTTAATTCCTAGGTAGATGCAAAGAAATTTCCAAGTCTATATGTTGGAATTTTTTTTCAGTATTTGAATTTAATTTGTTGACATAATTCATCATTATTATTTAATAACCTATCGGATCTCAACAAATATTGAGTTTCACCATCAAGTTAATAACGGTGATACATTAGATCAATAGATTAACAATATAAATTAGAAAAAATTATACTTTCAAGCCTCTTAATGTTTGTCACTTAGTCATTTAGACACATTGATATTTGAAATATTACACACAGACTCTCTGAAGTTGGCAAACGTGTAACACTTAAGCTTTTGTTGTTAATGTCCGTTAGTATATGTATTAATAAATTACACTTAAACTCCCTGGAATTTTTAAGCGTGTCACACTTAAACCCTTGAAATTCAAAATATTACACTTAGACCCCATATTACTTATTAGTTATTGCACTAACGGAATCTATTAAACAATCAAATTATCTCAATTAAAGGTAAAAGACATTGTATTTGTTACAGTTTGATCCCTTATTTGGGTTTTTAGATTCATTCTAATAGACAGTATAATTGTGTGCAAATGAGTGTTGAATTGAGTGCTTTGATGTATTTATATTGATTACTATACGTAGTTCATATATTTGAGTCACTTATTGACTTAGGCATTGGAGAGTTGACCTCCGAAGCTCCTCTTCGATCTCCAACTTCTTTTTTAGGTGATCGAAGTCCAACAAACTGATGTAAAGGTCGTCCAAATTTTTTTATCAACAATACTAATTAAAATTATTTTTTTAAAAAATTAAATTTTTATTTTTAATTTTATTTCAATGAATGATATAATAGAGCATAAATTTTGATTATAAAATTTAAGTTTATATAATATTACACGTAAACTTTTTGTTGACTGGTAAACCATTTGGGACCAACAGGAAAGTTCAGAGTTAGGCATGTCTCCATTTGTAGCTCGAGAAAATAGTTGCTTGTTCACACCAAATTGTTTGATTAATATTTAGCGATTTAAGCTGTGACGCCAAGAAGACTGTTAAGGTGGCTCTCATGCTTGTGCCGGGTGTAATAATGATATGACGTGATTATTAATAAGTAGTGCTATCGTTTAATAATAAATTTTATTATAAAAAATATAAATGATATGATAGGATAATTACTATAATATATAAGATTTATTGTTTATTTATTATATTTTTTATTAGATAATGACACTGTATGATAATGATGACATGATTAAGTACGATAAACCATTTTAGAAAATTGTGTCGAGGGTTTGGAGAAAACAAAAGTTATCAGATTTAACAAAATGACATGACAGCTCAATTGAATTTCTTTACTTAATACCATGTCATTTGGGTTTCAATAAAGATTCTAAATTATATATTGTCATGTCATTTGAACTCTTAATTTGATCTCAAAATTTAGTCAATATAACATTATTAAAATATGAATATTATTCCTATGGTGTAAGACTTTACTTTTCCTATAATATAATTTGTTGAATGTTATCCCAAAATATTATAAATCATTATAATATTTTGATTATCCCACCATTCCGAAGAAATGGAGTAAGGGAAGACTTTACTTTTCCTAATCCCAAGTCGTCCCACCAAAAAAATTATATTCCGGACAACTTTTCTTAAAACTAAACTCCTCGTGATCTCTTAATAATCCCTAATTCCTTGGTGTAGAACCACCTTCTTCCCCAACTTGCTTTTGGGTTGCTGCACCTACCCCTCATCCCAAAAGTCGTCTTCTAGAAATGATTAAGTACATTGAATTCTTTTGTCCACTACCCCCATTGTGGTACCGTCTGGCCAAACAACGGTAGTGTACCAAAAAGAAGATATGTTCATGAATTTTTTGGCATTTAATATTATTCAAATGTCTGAATGTAAATTTTTTGTCATTAAATATTATGCCTTAAAAATGATAATTTTGTCTATAAATATAATAACATTATTTTAAAGGATGGTAACTCATTTCAAATACTTGTAACCTCAGCTGCCTTTTTTTGTTATATTTTTTCTTTACTACTTGTAACCTAACTTTAAATACTTTTAACATAACCTTAAATGTAATAATTTTACCATAAATAGCTATAACATCTCTTTCAGAGATAGTAATTTTACTTTTAGTTGTGGTAACCTTATTTAACTTTTAATTGTTGTAACCTAACCTTTAAGAGTTATAATCTCACTTTCAAATATAGTAATTTTCCTTTTAATTATTGTAACCTTACCTAATATTTAATACCTAACATTTAACTGTTGTAATCTAACCTTTAAGAGTTTGTACCTCACATTTAAAGTTCAAAATTATAAATTTACAATTCATTAAAGTATCATTAATTTAAATTTCATAAAATTAAAATTAAATTAAAGTTCATAAAATTAACATTAAATTAAAATTCATAAAATTAAAGTTCATAAAATTAACATTAAATTAAAATTCATGTGGAGAGTCGTTGATGTTCTGCTCATTAATGTACAACCATTGATTTGTTGATGTAATTTTCTTTTTTTTTTTTTTGGATGTAAACCTATAACTTACTCAGCCGGTGAATAAAAAGATAATTAAGATCGATCATACATTTACATGATCGATCTTATTTTTTTTTCTTCGTACTTATGTTACAACCTTATTGGGGGGAGCGTCTTTCTTATGGAGGAAATAAGGAAGTGGGATCGATCATACACAATAAAGATCGATCTTAATGTTATATACATTGTGATGGGTCAGGCTCAACCCATGTTATAAGCCTTGTCCGAGCTAAAGACTCAATTCCAAGAGATCTAGCTAGTTAAGTCCAAAAGAGTCTACAACCGGATAACTTTATCAAGATCAAAGAGCTACATCAGCAGAAGAGTATGCACGGTCATCCAAAAGTCTCCTTTACTACCTTGGAGTAAGGGTCATTCAAGAGAGTCATCCAAGAGCCTCCTCTACGCTACCACGGAGCATCTAGGAGCCTCACCCTCGCAGCCTGGAGAGAGTCAACCTCCCTCATCCTTAACCAAGTCCTTTAAAGAGCACACCAAGCGTCACACCTCGCCCGTTGAGAAGATGATAGATCACCTCCGTCGGATCAGTTACCTAATTACTATCAAACGGTCCTAAATCATAATAACCGTCAGAATAGTCATACAATTACTATGTCAAACCATTATAAATTGTAAGCTTCCCCAACACTGGGGGGCCATTAGACTCATTTGATTATAATTTTCTCCTCCCCTCTCAAAGCTTGTAATCATGTGATCTCCCTCCATGCCAGAGATAATAAAAATCCGACAAACCTAGTCATTCAAAGTGGACGTAGGCCACGGCCGAACCACTATAAACCTTGTCTTCTATTTCTTTCTCTCTACTTTACTTCATTTCATGTTACTTAATTGACTAGTGGTGTGCAAACCGATTTTGTGCATCATCACATTGAATTCTTGAGATCAAAATAATGAATAGTATGATCGATCTTAATTATTTACAATCGATCTTAGGTCTGTGTTCTATCGACATTAAGTAAGATCTATCTTAAGATTTAAATTTTTTTTTCCTTAAGATTTAATATTATGGACATTAAAAGTAAGGTTACAATTTTGTAGGAAAGATTACAACCTTTGTTAGTAGGTTTACAGGTGATGTGAGATAAGTTATCCATTAATTGATAAGGTTATCGGTAATAGAGGGAAAATTATTACAAATAATTGTGGAATTACTCCAATCCGTGGTAAAGATGTAATCATTATGGGTGAGGTTATAACATTTTTATGAAAGGTTACTACATGTTGATGTAAGGTTACAATTTCTATAGGTAAGATGACAATATTAAAAATAAGGTTATCACCTAATTAGACTAAGTTACCCATTGAAAGATAATTTTATCCACTATTGAGGGAGAGTTATAATGCATAAAGGTTAAATTATGGTTGTCAGTGGCAAAGAGGTAACCTTTAGGGGTGAGGTTTTAACATGAAGAGGTAAGGTTACAACGTTTATAGGTAGGAGTACAATGTTTAAAAAAAGTTTACCACCTATTGAGGTAAAGTTACCAATTGAAAAAAAAAGTAAAATTACTCTTGTGTGTGGCAAATATGTAATCGTTATGGGTGAGATTATGACAAATTGTTGTCAGGTTACTAGTTGGAAAGGTAATGTTGTAATATTTAGGGGTGATGTTAAGACATTTCGTAGTAAGATTACAACAAGCTGATGTAAGGGAAGTACATGATGATAGGTACATGTTGATGTGGATGTTAGGTTAGTACCGTTAGAATGCATTGAGGTAAACTTACTCCTGTCAATGAGAAAGTAGTAACCTTTAGGGGTGATGTTATAAGAAAGAATAATTAAGATCGATCATACGGTAACATGATTGATCAAATTAAATTTTTTTTTTTATGTTACAACCTTACTGGGGTGGAGCGTCTTGCCTATAGGGGGGGGGGGAATGGGGAAATTGGGATCGATCATATATTATAATGATCAATCCTAAAAGGATATACATTGGCATTAAGGAGAGGAAAATAGTGAATTGTATGATCGATCTTAATTATTTGCGATATATCTCAAATATATGTTCGATCAAAATTATGTAGGATAGATCTTAATATTTAATGTATAAATGGACATTTAAAGTAAGATTACATTTCATGAATTTTAATTTAATGTTAATTTTATGAATTTTAATTTAATGTTAATTTTATGAATTTTAATTTAATTTTAATTTTATGAATTTTAAATTAATGTTACTTTTATAAATTTTAAATTTATAATTTTGAACTTTAAATGTGAGGTACAAACTCTTAAAGGTTAGGTATAAAAAGTTAGGTAAGGTTACAATAATTAAAAGTAAAATTACTATCTTTGAAAGTGAGGTTATAACTCTTAAAGGTTAGGTTATAACAATTAAAGGTTAGGTAAGATTACCACAACTAAAAGTAAAATTATTATCTCTGAAAGTGATATTATAACTATTTATGATAAAATTACAACATTTAAGATTAGGTTACAAGTATTTAAAGTTAGGTTACAAGTAATAAAGGTAAAAGTACAACAAAAAAAAGCAACTGAGGTTACAAGTATTTGAGGTGAGTTACAACTCTTTAAGGTAATGCTATTACATTTATAGGCAAAGTTATCATCTTTAAAGAGTAATATTTAAATGACAAAAAATTTATGACCACACTTTTTTTTGTGGTACGGTATCGCTGTTTGACCTGACGGTACCGCAGACTCTCCTTTGAGTCTCCCCTATTGTGTATAAGAAAAGTAAAATTAGTGTCATTTTTACTGCAACGAATCCATCAATTGAAGGGGAAAACTATGCTTCTTGTGATTTCAAAATTAAACTTACTAATGCACAACATTTGAAGGGAGGGTATTAACACATCATTATTAATGACATAATTTCTAGTCAATAACTTTCATAAACCTCATCAAGCAAAGCACCGTAGATAGATTGATCTTACTAAAGAGATTCAGACCAACGGAGCTCATTTAGATAATTAATTTGGTCAAGTTAGATAATATTTTTGGTGGCTTCGTCGGGGGAACTCCCCTCATACACATGAAGATCGATACAGTCATCTTGTTCGTATGCAGTCATTATTTAGTAGTTAAACTGAATATATATATATATATATATATATATATATATATATATATATGACTTAACTATCACAAACCTAATTACAGGTGTAAATTTTCTATATTGGGTATGACGTGTTAGCTTTCAGAGTAACCAAATAAATGTAACAGTGACGAATTGCATTCATTATTCATTTGAATGAATTACAATAAAATGCCCATAGTAGTCCTATACACGGGCAACTCAACTCCACTCCCTTTGTCAAAGGGGCAGGGGGGAGATTATACTTTGAAAAAAAAAAAAACCTAACACTAAAAACATCAACACGAACATTACCACACCACACACTTGCTCATGATCATTTATTCCTCTCTTTACTCTCTACTCTCTCTCTCTCTCCTCGCAAAACTGATGATCAACACCAGTTAATTAGTGGGATGTGAAAGTTCATGTTCTTACAATAGGTTTTAAACCTTGGCAGGAGGAAGCAGCCACTTAGAACCCTCGATAAAGGCAAGGCTGATGAAGGGCTGAGCTTCTGCATCAGTGAGCTTCTTAGCGAACGGAACCCGGGCAGCGAAGTCTGCTCGTGCTCCCTTGCAGTTGTATTCTCCAAAGAAAACGGTCCTGCAATGGCATCATCACCACCCTTTAATTACATAAATAAAAAGAAAATGAAATGAAATCAATCCTATGATTTAGAAAATAACTATACTATTTTGACCTAATTTCTAAACCTAATCAATTGCATTTATTGGATTGAAAGTGAATTCCATACAACTTTAAAATTCACAACTAATTTAACCGTTGCAATGAATTAGATACCTATAGCATTACTCGATAGGGAAAAACAAAAAGCAAGTAGCCCAAAAATCCATTTAGCCTTTAGGTATAAATAGTATATGGATTGATAAAAGAATGATGGCTTACTTGTCAGTCTCAGGATGCACGTTATCGGACCAGCCTTTAGGGTCGACGGCATCGCTCATATCTGTGTAAGCAAAAACCACCTTAGCAAAAGGCATCCAAGATCTGCCTAAGAGTGCGTTGCCTCCTGTACCAGTCACCGTGCAATGGACAAAGGAGTACCCAGTGTCCATTGCTTCACTTTGCCTTGCTTGTGCTGTGATCACTGCCACTGGGTCTCCGGGGATTACATGGAGCTCAGTATTCTGCATTCGAATATTAATCCATAGTTGTTATCCGGCCATCAAGATGAAGAAGAAGAAGAAGAAGAAGAAGAAAGAGAGATTATACCACATAGATAGATTTGCCATTGCCGAAGATGAAATCAACAGTGCCTTCAATGTAGCAATCTTTGAAGAAATGTAATCCCTTATCATCACAGAGGGTGTCTTGAAATCCATTCAATTTGCAGTTATAGAAGGACGCCTTGTCGCCTCCGATTCTCAATGCCAGTGCCTGGGCTCCCGCCCTTTTGCCGTCCGGCCTCGGCGAAGTATTCTGATAATAATGAAGAAGAAGAAAGAAAGAAAGCAAGAAAATTTATACAGATAAAAAAGCATAAAGAGAGCAAGAACATCAGAGACTCAGAGTAAAGGTACAAACCGCAATTATTATATTAACAGCACTGAAGTAATCAGATTCAACTATCAAAGTTGCACTATCCACTGTTCCGAACTCCGCCGATGTACCGCCGAAAGCCAACGTCGGCATGTTAGCCGCGTCACCGTAAAACGTGATAAAAGGCTTAGTCCTCTCAATCTTGATCTTCTCAGTATATTTTCCGGGCCCAATTGACACTATAACCCTATTAGTATTCCCATCGGGAACACTCTTGACCGCGTCGGCCAGAGTCTTGAAATCACCACTGCCATCGGCATTCACCTTAATGACTTTGGCACCGGCCTCCGCCGTGGCTAGGGCGGGGTCTAAGGTGGGCGATGGCTTGACATTGCTTTGGAACCAACCGTTTAATTCTGTCTTGACGGCAGGTATTGGAACGGTATCGTCGGAGACGATGTTGGGGATGAAGAGGAGAATGGATATAAGGATTGCCTCGACGGCGACGTATGTCATTTTTCCGGCCATTTTTTGTGTTGTTTTGGTAGTGAGTTTTTGGGTTATGCACAAACACGTTTATATAGCTCTGCATGGAGCTAGAGAGAGAATTAAAGGTGTGACATAGAGAGCTCCTCGCTTGTAGTTGTGGAGTTTGTGGTTGGAGTTACTTGGTAAATGTTTCTCTCCATGAATGTATGAACAAGAAAGGGCCATGAATGGAGGAGCTTAAAAGTCTCTATAGACTGTGGGGTAAAATATTCGACACAACAAAGATACCAAGTTGATATCAAATTATCACCATTATGTAAATACTACCATCTAATCAAAAGTAACAAGTGAGTATCTAAATCTCACAGAATTTAGCAATCACCCGCTCTATCTAATATTACAACAACCCATATCTAGAATTAGAGTTTACTTTTTTATTTTGTTATTTCTTATTAAATAGTAAATCACTCACCATGACAATAATTATGTATTGCCACCGTTAAATTTAATATTTACTCATGGTGTAGGCATCCGTTTATACACAAGGGCCATCATTGATTCTCAAAGGTACTTGAGAAGACTATTAATAATACAATAATATTATTTAAATTTAATTTATTGATATATAATTTGATATTAACGCCATGTTTATATAGTAACTGTTACTATAAACTTTCTAAATTAAGGACATCTCAAATTTTAAAGTCGTCATCACCAATGACCTCTCTCTTAGTAAAACATCGATCTGAATTAAGGATTTGTATTGGGCCATGGTAATCTAGATTAAAGTAATATTATTTGGATGTAAAAATGTAACTTAAAACACTAAACCATGACGGGATTAAGCCAGCACTGATTTGATATAGTTCCCCAAATTGTTGTAATCAGAATTGTTATACTTTTTTTAATGAGATCATGTCACCTTCTGCATTTAATCTTTCTTAAGATTTAAAAGCTTCCTATAATTTACATGAGTACAAGGAAAAAATTATTGACTTACCCAAAAAAAAAAAAAAAAATATATTGAACAGTGAATTCGATTCTTTTGAACTATGAGGCTTATGTGTTGCACAATATATCTCGTCATTGAAAAACAAACAGTATATAGGATAAAAATCTCCTTACGGTTAAAGTATTATATCGAAATTTATAACTTTTATGACAACGTGGTTATCCTCGGGTTTTAGGGGGCAAACTCAATTTGTAGAGATTTACACCTAACCCCTTATTCGACAGTGGAAATAATCCCCGGGGGGTGGGGTGGGGTTGAAACCCAACATTGTCATCCATGCCTCCATGATTTTTTGCAGGCAATGTTGTTCGACCATTGAAAGCCCAAGGTATCATTGGCAGATGAGCTCTTAAACCTCTTCCAATCATGAATTGCAGCAGTCAGATCGGCCACCTTGGCACTTATACTCCGACAACAATTGGCATGAACAGTTACAACAGCTCTAACATCCTTGCTCTTCTCACAGAATCCACTGAAATAAAGGGTGTTCAAGAACCTCACTCTAAGGCCTAACCCTCCGAGCACACCACCTTCACGAATCAGCATTTGCAGAACATCTTGTTCTTTCATTCCGGAGGAGTTGTCTTTCTGGGCGTACCATTTATCGAAAAGGGCAATGGTCTTGTTGTTTGATCTGACGATGTAGAAGCCGGTGTTGATTGGGTTTTTTTCAGACCACTGGTCGCCGGTGAACCTGTCGGTACTGATTTGGAAGTCAATGCTTTCGTTTAGACTCAACCTTGGAAATGGATTTCTTAGCCACAATATATCAGTGTCCTGTTAAACAAAAATGGTTATCCCAATATAAATCATCATAATAATTTGTTGTTTCTCTAAGATTACAACAATAGAAAAAGGAAATCATTATTGAATTTTCAACTTATAAAACATAGATCAAGATTAATCTAATTTTTATTTATTTTGATCCAACGGTACAAAATTTCTCCCAAAATTTATTTTTTCTGGCAAAAACTTATTTTATCTGCACTACACGACCCCCAATGTTTGATAACTCTATCAATCCAACCTGCCATTCTCCTCCATCCCGTAACTCTCTAAATATTGCACAATTAATATTCAGTTTTTGATATTAAAAAGTATTTTTCATGCACATAATAACTGCTATTTAGTCTATGAGCAATGGTATTGAACCTAATTTACTGACCTAATTTGTTGATCTAATTCACTATGATTTTTTGATCGACTGTGGGATACATCAAACATTAGAATTTGGTGTTGATTCAATAGTTTTACTGAAGCCACATCATTATGTTAGTAAATTAAATCAAAATTTTAAGTGTAAATAGCATTACTCTTAGTCTATATATAGGAAATCTATTTTTACTATTCAAATAAATGACGATCATCTCACAATGACACCAAATCTTCCATCAATAATAATAATTTAATAATGAATTTTTCAACCATGATAAGCAATGCCATATTAAACATCTAATTTCTGTGCAATGGTTGTAATTTAGCTTTCATTCCCTAAAGTCATACCAATGGTCGTTAAATGGTTTGAGCAATTTGAGTTGTGACTTAGTTTTGACTAGCTTAAGTTCATTTACAGGAAAAAAAAAACTAAATTCAGTCAAATTTATCAAATTGATTTTTAAATGAATCGTATTGAAATGTTATGTTGTTCAACTCGAGTAGGCTCAACTCGACAATTAATTTGAGTTGAATTTCCTTGTCCATAAATAAGTCTAATTTTATTACTAAACAATTCATATTCAATATATAAACAACTTCGAATAATGTGAAGATGAAGTTGAAGTTGTAACCACGCTTCAATAATGTGAAATTTTGACACCTACCGTGAAGATGAAGTTGTAACCACGCTTGAGCACGTCACCGAGGAATAGGGTTCTTCTCCACATCATCTTAACAAAATCCTGAGACAGGTACAGTTTCTCGCCGGCAAATTCTACTCCGTCAGTTTCAAGCTTGTAGCAGTGAAGCCGAAGAAACTTGCATCGTTCATAGGACGTTTGATCGACGGTAACGATCAAGAGGTGATCGGTTAATGCCCGAGTATCCTCTCCGAGCCAGAAACCATCCAAGAACAGATCAAGCATCGACTTGTCGCCCTCGACGTAGGCTTTATTTACAACGGCTATTATCAGAGTCTTGTTCTCCGTGGAAGCTTCTAACAAAGCCTTTCCAAGCTCATCTCCATTGATTGTCATGCTAGACTGCAATATATGAGAACGTTGAGAAATACGCACTGTTGAACCATTGATGAGAAACCTATGAACTACGGATATTTCATCAAAGTCGCATAAATAACATTACCGCCATGTCAAGATCCGCCTCCCTTGAGAAACCTATGTGTCAGTTCTAGGTCAAAATCATGGTTAAACCTATATATTAGATGTGTATGTGTGTGTCTGTATGCGTGCTGCTGTAATGGTGGAAGGAAGCTTACTGCCTGCGAGGATTGAGAGACTTGACGGTGAGACTTTTGGAATCGAAAGAAAGGCTGCCTGCCCTTTTCTGGGTTGGAGATGAAAATATACAGTAAACCAAGGATCAAAAGTATTGCTATTACTCTGACATTGACTAGATTTTTCGGGGAATCCATGGGTTTTTCTTCGGACTTCGCCTGAAATTAGACTACCGGCCGGAAAGTTGTGAATGATGGACTTTAATGGGATCACTGATCTTTGGTCTCAGCAGTTTATGATCGGAGTTCGGAGAGAGCATAGTCTCCGTAGGTAGATCATAGATGGTTCCTTTATATATTGTATAAGTTGACCCATATTTTTCTGTCCTTCTCTATTATTATTTTGTATAAGTTGACCCATATTTTTCTATCCTTTTCTATTATTATTTTTTTTTTCCGACAGTAAGTGATGTCAAGTCAACTTACGCGTACCTCGACTAACCTTCTCCCTGACGTAATTAAAAACAAGTTATACACACTAAAATTAAGATATTTATAAGATATAAATCTCTCATAATCTAACCTCATAAATTGTTAAGATTCAAACTCATATTTTTCTAATTTGTTGATTTATACTATTTTCATGGTTGAATTAATAATGGGTTTAATATTTCCTAATTTGAATTTTAAAAGATGGGTAGAGCGACTAAAACTAAATCAATATACCACCCTCTCTTCTGCTCCTGATTTTTAAAAGGATGTCCAATTTTGATTGAACTAATTTTACAAAGATGTTGGCGTATCACTTTGACATAACTAGTAAAGATTTTGGCCAATTTTAAGCATTTTTAAAATTTTTCATGGATTAATATCAATCCAACACAAATTATGTTATCAAATTAAGTTAAGTGATTAAATTTTAATTATATTTTTGGTCTTTATGGTAGCGTTAGATTTCCAACAAGAGTTAGACTTGTACCTTGAGTTTTGACTTTCTTAAGTTTCTATTTGGCATGTTGTATTCCTTCAAACTTTTGGACCATTCAAACCCAACGCAAACGAATTTCAACTTTCAAGGAATAGAAAAAGAAATATTGCAAATTAGTTTAATTTCTTGGTATTCAACAAATTGATTTGATACGCAAACCTTTTTTGACAGAGCAATGCTAAAGAGAAAAATCTTCTCCTTTTAGAATAATCCAAAAAAAAAAAGGTAAGTGTTTAATTGAAACATGAAAACGTGATTAAATTGGTCTTAATTATTCTTCAAGATGGAGTGGAATAATGGAGGAGATTCTCAAAAATATAAAAGAATCAAATGACTTCGAAGGAATTGAACGAGAAGCCGTATGAGGTGAAAATCTCATGTATTGTTCTGTAGAGTGATAGTAAGGATGACTTATCTGTCAACTTTTCTACTGTCACCCAAAAAAAATCAAATTTTGTCTTACATAAAGTTGTCAGAGTACGATTAACTTCTGTATTTGAAATCACCGATTATATATCCGGTATTGGCCATAATTCACAAAAAAATTTGTAGTCTTAGTAAGAGGGGGACTTAGGGTTAAGGATTTAGGGACTTAATAATATGACTTCAATGCAATCATTGGATTAATGGTGAATTCTAATGTTAGATGAAGCCTACAACCAATCCACTGGTTGTATATTATTAAGTCCCTAATAAGGTTCAAATAGCATTTCCTTTTTTGAAAGCCGATTGTAATGGCTAATTGTCGTGCCCTGAATTTTATGCAACGCAACATTTATAAATGCTTGGGAGAGAAGAAATGTTTCTCTATTTTTAAAAATAGATTACAAATAATTTTAATAATTTTAAAAATTATAAATTTCATGCATCGCACACAAGTAGACGCTAAAAAATTGATGAGTATGAGATGAGTGGGTCTCACTCAAAAAATTGATAAAATTCACTCATCCAATGGATGATATACATTTGGGTTACAATTTTTTGGATTCCATTTGAGTTTTGTTGCATGCTCAATTGATAAACACATACATGAGTCCTGGTCAACATGCCAAAATTTAATTACCTCAAGTTATAACATGGAAGGGCTGCAAAATCATACTTCTTGAATTTGAATTTTGATAATTTCTTGTTGTCAAGTTACGAGAGAAATATCTTTTATGAATATTTTAATTTCGATATAAATGATCTTTCTTTAACCAAATTAAAAATACGATTAATCGATGTTCAGGTAACTTTATCTGGACAGCCTTGGCCGTTGAAAAAAACATGCCATGCCAAAATTTCGGTATTGGGTCAAGCTACCCATCCCACCGGCCGATGGTACATTCCCGTTATCAGCCCAAGTCAAGCCATCATAGTGGAAAAAAAAGGGCCTGAAGCCTGCTCAACAGGCCTTGTCTTATTATGCCTTAAACGGATCATAAACATAATTTTCTTTTGTTACTTAAATTAAAATTATATAAAATTATAACTTTGGGATAGTATAAAAGTAATATTTAATACTTAAACATTCCATTTATATCTATCTATACTACTTTTAAAAGTATCATGAAAAACATTTATTTTTCTATTTTACCCTTGAAAAATACTATAAAACTAAAATTATCCTTAAATTTAATAGTCATTAAAACTATGTAATCCTTAATTTTATTTTTCTTAAATTAAAATTAATTAGATCATTTCAATTGATGTTACTACCAAAATTGCACCACTTCATCTCTCCCTCACATAACTCCATGAAATGTTAATCGACACCCTTATCAACAAATTATTAACGAGCAGGATTTGAACCATGCTCACTTCTCAAAAACGTAAACCCCCAATCCCTTGTACTCCATGTTCTTTTGACTGATCAGCTCAACATATCTGTTCTATTGCAGTGGTGGCGAGGCTCTGATTCTCATCCACCGCCGATGAACCGATTGCCTCTCAATTTTTTTTTACGATCTCAACTTATCCTAACTAAACACTGATTTTCATATTCTTAACTCAGTGAAATGCGTCTATTACAAAAATAATGCAGCTGATAAGGGTTTTGTTCAATCTCCAACCAGTTTCGTATGTCCACAAAATTTATGTTGTATTCATGTTAGAGTGACCATTAGTAGCCCAAAAAAAGCTAAAGTTGTTGCAACAACGCTTGTGATTTTCCCCAGGTTTACGAAAGCTAATTATTGGGGTTTATTTGACCCTTTCTTGCATTTTATTCTATTTAGCAGTGTTTTAAAATTTGGTCCGGCCAATTTGTAATTGAATCGTTTGAGCCAAGAACCCGGGATAAAATTGATGAACCGATCAAAAAATCGGTAATCTGTGAAAACCGGATGAATTTATAAAATCGGCCAATTTAGTTCCTTTAGTATAAATAAGAGATTTTTTAACATTTTTGTGTCTTTTTGTTTTTCCCTTCTATTTTGCCCTATTTCCTAAATCGTTCTTTCCGATGTCCACACTCCAGAGACCACGACAGCCTCCACCCCAACGACTGACCAGTGACCACGAGTAGCAGCGAACAACTCCAGCAGCGATCAGAAACGACTGACGTCGCTGACCACCGCCTCGCCTCCACCACCTCTCCTCCACGGTTCCACCAGCTGCGACTACAGTCCCAGACTCCCAGTGAGTTTCCCTTTCTCAATCTCTCTCTCCCCCCTTTTTTCTGTCTCAATCCAAACTCGATATTACGATTTGGGTTTTTTATTTTGCAATTAGATGAGATAGATTCTTTGAAGTTTGCTCAGTGGAATGAAATCCAAACTCGATATAAGACAGTCTTGTGGCTTGTTTGGGATTTTTATTTTACAATTAGCCGAGATAGATTCTTGTGACTTGTTTGAGATTCTTATTGTTCATTATATATAATTGGGTTGTAGATTAGTTAATCTATAGTAGTGGTAATATTTGTGTTTTCAAGTAGAACTAGGCGGTGGTTGGATAATTTATTTTTAGTTTCGTTTATTTGAGTCTTTACGCTATGCTCATGTCCTTTGTTTTGTATTCATGTGTCTGGCTTACTATAGTTTGAGTATGAAGTTTGAACTTTGATAATTTTTCTCTATTAATTTTACATGTTTGATTTTATTTTTTTATAATTATTGTGATTTTTTAGCTTATTTATTATTATTTATAATTATTTTTTAATTTTTTATTATATTACCGGTCAAACCAGTGATCCGTTGACCCGATCTTTTCACCCGGTTGATATCCGGGCCGGGTTTTAAAACTATGCTATTTAATATGATATCACATTGCTAAAGTAGTTCTTGATACAATTTCTCACTCTGTCCCGATCTCAAATGGTTGACACACATTTCCTATACACAATTGATTTTCTTTTATCTGTTGCCGCTCCATTTGAGATCTTTAAAGGGCAAAATTTTGTTTGTTTTGAAGATGATTAGATTTGTGTTGCTAAAGCTCTTGATTGTATCACTTAGTCACTTATATTATTCATATCTTTTGTTTTTTTTTTTTCATTTGTATAATTAAGATGTATGAATGTTATTTCAATCTTATGGGTTGTCAATTATAATAATGGTTTGAGGTATTTATAGTTTTTGGATTCAGTAGATGCAGCGGTCTCAACTTGTTAGTTATAAATAATTGATTTGTATGTTGAAATGGTTTTTTTAATTTTTAATCTGTCTGTCATTTCAATTTTTAGAAATTAAGCCACTTTTTTTCCATGCGAGGCACTTGGTTTTTTTTCTTTGGGGGGCATAGTTAGATTTTTTACAAACCATTAATGACTTTGTATTTGCAATATGTATTATTTTTTTTGGGGGGGGGGGGGGGGCTTGGGTTATCAAATGTTT